TATCAAAAATAGGAAATCAGCATTGGAGCACTACTATTAACTAAACTACAGGCTTTATTTGAATTTCACCATTTTTATAGGTATTTCCTCTGTGTGTGTGTGTGTGTGTGTGTGTGTGTGTGTGTGTGTTTAGCTCTATGAAATTTTATCACAGGTGTAGAATTGTATAACCACCACCATAATCGGGATATAGAACTGTTCCATCACCCCTCATGTTAATCCTTAATAATCATATCCTCCTCCCAACCCTAACCCCTAGTAACTACTGATCCATTGTTCATCACTATAATTTTCGTCCTTTGGAGAGTATAATATAAATGGAGTTATACAATATATAAATGTTTAGGAAAAACTCACTTCTGTGTGTTTCTCCTTTATTCTTACACTGCTACCACACTCACAACACTTCTGACACCAGATGTATGTGGATTTTTTCTCACACCAAGCAATTCTTTTGACACCAGCGGGGTGTCCTACATTTCAATTCAATTCTGACACTGCCTAAAGTTAATACAGACACCACAGGTTAAGGGCTCAGTCCCACAAGACTTCCCCCCACCCCACTTCAGATGCCATTTGCAAGTAGTAGGTCCCCAGGTTACTCACAACTTTTATCTAACTTAGCTACACATTAGAGGTTTTCATGACCCCCCCTTCCCTTGGAGTTGATTATTTGCTAGAACTCACATAACTCAGGGAAACACATTATGCCAATTAAACATCACCAGGCATAACACAATTACTGGGTTGTCGGAAAAGTCATGACATATTTTTTTCTATGTTTTTCGTTGCAAAAATGCATCATGACTTTTCCGACAACCCAATAAAATGTATAATCCACAATCAGTAACAGCAATACATTAGAAGATCCCCATTGCTTATTATAAAATAGCAATTTTATCCTTCTCTCTGCTAGTTAATTATTTAATAAATTCTTATGTCTTCTGTATTTGTGAACCTGTTTGGGCTCAGTGCAGGGAAAGGAGGTTAAGTCCCTAAAGATAATGAAATCATTTCCAAGATGTTTAGCATAGAACCTAGCAGAGTTGAAACTTGTAGTCATTTTGACATGGAGTGTTGTATGTATACTCGAGAAAAATATAATTTTGCTCTCCAGTGGAACTCTTGTTACTTTTTTAGTCATTAATATAGAAAATAAATTTTGAAGTGTTTGTATTCATTCCTTAGGAATTTTCACTGATAATAAGGTAAAATTTTGACAGGGCTAACTGTAAAATTCTACATTTAGATTCAAAAATGAACTTTGTAAGTACCTGATACCAAAACATTGATTTTAGAAGTGGCTTATATGCAAACAAGAATTTTAGTTACAAAATAATAATAATATCATCTTGAACTGAATTTACAAATATTATATAGTATCTAGATCAAGAAAAGTAAAAAGGCCACTTCTCTCCATACTAATTAATCTTCATCTGGTATAATGCACATCGTTTTTCTCAACTATGTAATAGGATAATAATGTGTACTTCATAGGATTATTGTGAGAAAGAAGTAATATAAACATGTAAATCACTAGAAAAGTACCTGACATATAATAAGACCTCAGTAAATGCTAGCTATGATGATAATTATGTCCAGTTTGAGCCATGACTTTTGAGATAACTCATGTGTAGCATTATTCTACTATCTTATATAGTTGTTTTAAAGAATAGATGGGATAATGCCTGTGAAAGTCCCAAATTCAGTGCCTGGAACATAGTTAAGTACTAACTTAATACCTAATGCCTTCTAAATGTTTATGACCCCCCCAAAAAAATTCTTTCCAGCCCAGACCTCTCCTGAACTCTAGGCTTATTTGTCCAAGTGCCTACTTGAATCTCCGCTTGAACGTTAGTTATCTGAAGCATAATATATTCAAAACGCAAGTCCTGATCTCTTCCCCATCTCACCGTCCCCCCAAAAAAAATCTATTCTGTCTGCAGTCCTCTTCATTTCAGTTGGTGTCAGACTTCCAGTTGCTCACACTGAAAACCTTGGTGTTGCCCTTGATTCCTCTCTTTCTCTCACACCCCCCCCATCCAATCTGTCAGAAAACCCTGTTCTCTCTACCTTCAAAATATATTCAGAATTAGGAACTTTGGTTCTTTGTGAGACACTGTAAGAGAATGAAAAGACAAGTCACCAACTGGGAGTGAATATTTGCAAATTATATATCTGATAAAGGACTTATGCCCAGAATATATAAAGAATTTTTAAAATTCAATAAGAAAACACACAACCCAATTTAAAATGGGAAAAGATTTCAACAGACATTTCAACAAAGAAGATATATGGTGTCAGAAAAGCTCACGCAAGTTGTTCAACATCCTTAATCATTAGGGAAATATAAATGAATGCCACAATGAGATATCTATACACACATATATCAGAATGGCTAAAATCAAAAAGACTAACCACACCAAGTGTTGGTAAAGATATAGAATAACTGTAACTGATGATACACTGCTATGGAGATGTAGAATGGTGCAGCCACTTTGAAAAACAGTTTGGCAGTTTCTTAAAAAGTTAAACATACTCTTGGGCCAGCCGAGTGGTGCATTGATTAGGAGTTCGCTTGGGACGCCAGCTCTGAGCAGCAGGGCCCCGGTTCGGATCCCACATGAGGGCCAGTGATGCTGCGCCTTCTACAGCTAAGATGGTGAACAACAGCTCCACCTGGAGCTGGGCTGCTGTGAGTCACCAGAGACAGCGTAGGCTGCAGAGGGGCTGGCCAGCAGCAGGCATGCGTTTTCGTGAGCGGCCGTCCAATGGCTGGCGAGTGACTGCCTCACCCGGGAAGAGCGCAATGATAATACCAACGTGGGCCAGTGAAGCGACGTCCTCCACAACTAGACTGAAGAACAAAAGGACAGCAACTTGCCTGTTTCCCTTCCCCGATTCCCCAATTTAAAAAATACTCTTATAATAAGACCCAGCCATTCTACTCCTAAGTATTTACCTAAGAAAAATGAAATATATGTCCATACAAAGACTGGTACATTAATGTTCATAGCAGCTTTATCTCTAATAGCCAAAAATTGGAACCAACCCAGGGTCCATCAACAGATGAACAGATAAAAAAATTATGACATATCCTTACAATGAAATACCACTCAGCAATACAAAGGAATGAACTATTAATACACACAATAACATGGATGAAGTTGAAAATCTTTATGCTGAGTGAAAGAAGCTGGACAATAATGAGTACATACTGTATGATTCCATTTATTAAAATTCTAGGAAATGCAAACCAATCTGTACTGATAGAAAGTAAATCCGTGGTTACCTGGGGCCTGGGATGGGGATGACAAAGGGGCTTGAGGAAACTTTTGAGAGTGATGGATATATTCATTATCTTGATTGTGGTGATGGTTTTTGGGTTATATACATATGTCAAAACTTATCAAATTGTACACTTTAAACATGTGCTGCTTTTATATGTTAATTATACCTCAGTAAAACTTTTTGGGGAAAATGAAGCAAAATGTATTCGGAGTCTACCTCCTTTTACCCTTTTTATTGTTGCCATCTGATTGCATCCACCATCATCTCTCCCCTGGATTGCTGTAGTAGCCTCCTAACTGGTCTTCCTACTTTTTTCTTTCAACCCTTGTCCCCTTCCAATCTATTCTCAACACCACCTGCAGACTGTTCGTTTAAGGCTGTCAGATCATGTTGCTCTAGCTCAAAACCCTCCAGTGGCTCCCTCTTCCACTCACAATAGAAGCCAAAGGCCCTTTAAGGCCTACCCCAGCCTTGTCATCTCTCTGATCTAACCTACTATTTACTCCACACACAAGGGTCTCCTTGCTAGTTCTCAAATTCCAGGCAACTCCCTCCTTTGAGTCTCTGCATTAGTTGTTCTCTCTGCCTAGACCAGTCACTTACCTCTTTTGGATGTGACTTTCTCAACTGGACCTACTTTGACCACCCTATTTTAAGTTGCAATGTACCAAATTCTTCTTACTCTGCTTTACTATTTGCTTTATTCTGTAGCACTTTTAACATACTCTATGATTTACCTTTTTGGGATTTTCTTTTCTTCTCCCACTGGAATATAAGCTACATGAGGACCTAAATCTTTGTTGGTTTTGTTTACTTGTGTATCCCAAGTACCTATGAACAATGCCTGGCACATAGTAAGCTCTCAAGAAATATTTCTGAAATTAATACTTGTAGCATATAAATCTTTAAGGTACATTGACAAATTAGAGTAGAACCAAAGTGGGAGATAAGAAGAATGACAAAAGAGCTTTGAAATATACATGAGGAATAGTTGAGGTAACTGGAGACATTATCACAGAGAAGAATAGATTTAGCAGAAGCATGATTCCCCCTCTTAACTACTGAAGGGTTATGGAAAAGGTGGTATGTTTGCTCTGTGGTGCCCAAACAAGCCAGATATGGGCCTGGACTGAGTAAGAACTTTCTCACTTTCTTAAAATTATAATGGTCTGCCATGAAGCAGTGATCTCCTACTGGGCAAGGTCATACAGAATGGTCATCCATCCAACGGGGATTAAAGGGAATCCCACATGGGGAAATGGTTGAATTAGATGACCTTGAAATTTGTTCTAGTTCAAAGATACTGCGATTTTTTTTAAATCCAGTTATTCCTGATAACTCAGAATGCTGAATAAGTTATGGAGTTAATTTTTCAAATGCTTATTTTACCTGGCAAGATCATGTCAAAGGTAACTTCATAACTTCATCATATTATGATTAATTATTTTAGCCATATATCTGAAAATTACATGACCCATTATTTCAGCCCTTCATTATTGCTAAAAAGAAAACATTATTTTACTATTAGTTTTGACCTTCATATGCCTCGTTTCAGAATGTTTACCAGTATCATGGAATAAAATTTCCAGTCTCCTAGAATTCAATCTAAGTTTCACATTTAATAATTAGGACTTTATTGTTTGTTTTAGGTTAACCTTCTTCACTTTTTTATCCAATTATAAGTGTTCATTATCTTTCTTCTTTTATAGGAGAGGGATCGTTATGCCTACAAGATTCATCTTCCAGAAACAGTAGAGCAACTGAGGAAATTCAATGCAAGGAGGAAACTAAAGGTAAATTAAAGAAGTCATCAAAAAGCCAGACAGATACAGTTGATGATCATGTTTTTATTCTGTTTCGGGGCCCGTAAATATATCCTAGTGTTGGCCATTATTTTTCTTATAGATAAATTCCCACTTCCAAAAATTACCACTTTTTCAATAAGATTTTGGTTTTTTAAATCATGGTAAGGTAATATCTAAGTATGAATCCAAACAATAAGTTATAAAAAATGGAAGATTAATCATATTTTGTATTTGTATTATTTTTAAAATTCATAGCAGATAAAATTACTTTAAAAGCAGTAATTTACTATTATTATCCATTATTTTTAGTATAAATCTAGGCCATGTTTTCTCAAAAAAATATTTGACCAAAAAATGTAGTTTAGTTCAATGGAAACAACACCGAATTAGACTTGGAACTAGGATTCAACAACCATCACAAAACAGTAAGATTCCCCACTACCTTGGAGTACTAGAAAATATTTTCAAATTACTTTTCTCATCTTTTCATTGCTCTTCCTAGGTACCTTTCTCCTTTTACCACTCTTCCTATCCTCCAAGTCACCAAAAGAAATTAGTAATTACCCCATATAGGGAGCCCATTTGACTTGAAAAGTTTTTTAAAAGACCCAATATAAAATAATGGAGTCTTTTCAGCAGTGGGCAAAAATTTTATAGGACAGCATTTCTCCCCTCCCCCTCAAGAAAGAAAACTATTCTATTATGGTCTTAAAATTAACTTATGTTTGACTTGCTTTTGATTACTATTTAAAAAAATTAACTCTGTCCTCTAAGTGGTCGATTGGATAGTAGTCCCCCTTAGCCACACAACTCCTGCCAACTATAAAACTCTTCTTTGTATTTTCAAATAGGTCATGAGTTGCAATACTATTATTCATTATTATTCAACCCCTGAAATAAGTGAATGGTTGTGTGCAACTCTAGATTTATAAGAAAATTTATATGAATTTTAGGAAAACTATGTAGGCCACAGTGTTATCCAATAGAGCTGAACTGTCCAACATAGTAGCCACAAGCCACATGTAGCAATTTAAATTTAAATTAATTCAAATTAAGTAAAATTAAAAAGTCAGTTCCTCCGTCACACGAGCACATTTCAAGTGCTCGGTAACCACATGAGGCTAGTGGCTCCTATATTGGACAATGCACATACAGGAGGTTTCCATCATTGCAGAAAGTTCTCTTGGACAGCACTGCTACACAGAGCAAGGGGAATTTTAACATGCCATTGTTGGGTGATGCTTATCCCCAGCTAAGTCTTCCGCCCAGTTGTTTTTGGAGCAAAGGTTCAGACTGGCTCTCCTCTCTTTGCTTTAAAAGTCCTTGGCAAAAATAATTATTAATATGGTGCCCAAAGAAGTTTACCAGGACTTTTATTTCTTTGCTTTGGTATACACCCAAACCAGTGTCGCCTACCGAAGAAAAAAATCTTACTCTCCAAAGTGAATTTTGGTCAGCTGTTTTTGAATTTAGTTTCCTTCCTACCCCCAATCCCTGCAAAGAAACCATTAATTATACCTCTTTTTCAGTTCTTCCCTAAAGTCTTCTTAACTGGAATGCTGCTTTGGCCTATGTGACATTGCTCTGTCTGGGGCTGAACCTTTCGTTGCCCAAGTACAGGCCTTTTACCCTAGGGCACAGGGTTGCTCCATCACCAGACACATGCTGTATTTCTCCCAGTGCCACAAAATCAGACTTGGGCCTAAAATAGCCAAAGTGGTGACTAAGATTCATTTGGACAGGGCCAAGCTGTCACAGCAGAAAGGGGTCATGTGAATTTACCACATCCCTTTGCAGGGATATTTAAAGTCTCAAGACCCACCAAACAACCTAGAATTAGGAACATCAGCAGTTGCTGAGTTTTTCAGCTTCTGCTATGGCTGTGTTCCTTTGAGTGATTCAGCCAACCTGGTTAAAGCATGTTACACCTACCCTCCTCAGGGAACTAATTCTCCTCATGCTGCCTCTCCTGTAAGCTTCCAGAACAGAGATTACAACTTCCCTGGCTTCCAGAGCCCACCACACAACTTATTTTTACAAATGAACAGCTAGGCACCCGTCCTTCTATCCAGGCTCTGTTTTTCAGCTTCTGAAATGGTGGGCAGCAACTAGATTTTTATGACTCCCTTTGAAAGTGACTAAAAAGGAAGTTCTCAGAAAGCAGGAGAAAATTACTTTTGTTACTTAGTCAGCAGTAGGAAATTTTTATTGTCGGTGACAAGAAGAAAGAGAAGGAGTACAGTATTATGGGAAAGAGTGGGCTCTGGGTCTACGTTGCCTGGGGCGAGTCCTGGCTCTGACACAAGCTTTGTAACCTTGAACAAGCTTAGATTCTCTGTGCCTCTCAACTTCCTTATCTATAAAATGGGGATAATGATAAGAGCTAACTCATAGGGTTGGAAGGTTTTAATGAATGAATATCACAGCAATTAGAATACTACCTGGTAGTCATAAGTGCTCCATAGAGATTATTTGCTATTAACATTATTATTTTTTTTGTTTTATTATGATTTTAATGTTAATACCTTTGATTTGGTACTCTATTTGTAAATAACTGTAATTCCTCAGTGGACACTCCATACCATTTTAGCTTTTTTTCAGTCATTGACATTAACATTTTGAGGGGTTTTTTAAAGGCTATTTAATAATGTATAGAACATGAAAACTTGCACTGGATAATCTCTATTTCTGTATTTCTTCCAAAGTAACTATGCTGAGACTTTTCTCACCATCTCGATCATTTTCCTTCACAGTATCTAGAAAGGGACGATCTTATGATATAACACTCATTTCTCTTCCATTCTCCTCTAGTATCATGCCCATTATGTGATATACATTTTTTTAGAGCACTGGCTCTCCAAGTGCAATTCCCCAGACCAACAACATTACCATCACTTGGGAACTTAATAAAAATACAAACACTCAGCTCTAATGCAGTCAGGCAAGAAAACAAAATAAAAGGCATCCAGATTGGAAAGAAAGTAAAGTTCTCTTTGTTTACATGATGACATGATCCTGTATGTAGAAAATCCTAAGGAATATTCAAAAAAGCTATTAGAAATAACACATTTAGCAAGGTCACAGGATACAAGGTCAATATATAAAATTGAATTGTATTTCTATATATGAGCAATGAGCAATCTTAAAATTAAACAATTCCATTCACAATAGTATCAAAAAGAATGAGCTACTTAAGAATAAATTTAACAAAAGAAGTATAAGACTTGTAAACTAACATTGCTGAGAGAAATTAAAGAGGATCTAACTAAATGGACAGATATTTAATGTCCGTGAATTGGAAGACCCAATATTATTAAGATAACAGTTCTTTCCAAATCAAGCTGTAGATTCAGCACAATCCCTATCAAAGTTTTAGCAGAAATAGTCAAACTGATCCCAAAATGTATATGGAAATGCAAAGGACCTAGAATAGCCAAAACAATCTGTAAGCAAGAACAAAGTTGGAAGACTCATAGTTTTCAATTTCAACACTTAACACTTACTATAAAGCTACAGTCATCAGGACACTGTGGTACCAGTATGGTATGAGGATAGGCATGTAGATTGTGGAGCAGAATTAAGAGTTCAGGAATAAACCCTTATATATGTGGTCAGTTGATTTTCAACAAAAGTTGCCAAGGCAATTCAATGGGGAAGGTGAAGTCTTTTCAACAACTGGTGCTGGGCCAATTTGATATCCACATACAATAAAAGACATAAAAGGCTACCTATTGGATGATACTGTTTATCTGTAATATCCAGAATAGATATTTATATCTGTAAATCCTTAGAGAGAAAAAACAAATTGGTCATTTCCTGGCACTGGGTAGTGACTGCTTAATGGGTATAGGGAAGTGGCGGGGGGCAGATAAAGATGTTTTAGAACTAGACAGAAGTGGTGGCCACATAGCATTGTGAATCTGCTAAATATCACTGAATTGTACACTTTAAAATGGTGACTTTTATGTTATGTGGATTTCACATGAACCACCTTTTTTATGCCATGTGACAAAATATTCCTAAATACTGGCTTTCACTCTGACACACTTGAGAGATATGGCACATTCCCATAGTAACAGTAACTGCACCACTCAGCTCACCCAAGACACTACCCCTCCCTCCCTGAGCCCCAGGCATCCAGGAGGTTAGAGGGCTGTGTCTTTATAGGAAAAGCCCCTTAGGTGGTTGTGATATGTCCACTTTATTGAGAGTTACTACTCTAAAGAACAAACTGTAATGGTTCTAGAAAAATTCATCATATGTACTTATGAGTATAATTCAATTAACCAGTTGTTGGACATAGAAATCGCTTCCAGTTTTTCATGGCCATAAATACTGTTGCATTGGCTATTTTCATTAATAAATCTTTGTACAGTTTTGATTATATTTTTAGGGTAAGTTCTCTGCTACTGAAATTGATGGCATCAAAATTTATTCTGTACTTAAGTTTTTTTTTAAGATTTTATTGGGGAATTGGGGGAGGGAACAGTGTTGAGGAATTGGGGAAGGGGAACATTTTTTTTCAGGACTCATCAGGTCCAAGTCAAGTTGTTGTTCTTCAATCTTAGTTGTGGAGGGTGCAAGCTCAGCTCCAAGTCCATCGCTGCTTTCAATCTAGCTGTTGGGGCAGGGGCGCAGCCCACCATCCCATGCAGGAATAAAACAGGCAACCTTGTTGTTAGAGCATGCACTCTAACCAGCTGAGCCATCCTGCTGCCCATGTGTTGTGTTCAATCTTAGTTGCGGCGAGGAGGGGGCAGCCTACCATCCCATATAGGGGTCGAACCAGCAACCTTGTTGTTAACAGCACGCGCTCTCACCAGCTGAGCCATCCAGCGTCCCGTTGGCAGCTCAGCTCGGGCGCAGTTCACCGGCCCATGTGGGAATCAAACCGGCGACCCTGTTGCTCAGAACTCGCACTTCAACCAACTGAGCCACCCTGCCGGCCCCTGTACTTAAGATTTTTGATCTCTGTAAATAACTTGCCC